GCCTCTGACCGTTGACATGATTTCGTTTTGACCTCGAAAATGTATCCGTAAGATGAACAAGTATATTTTCGTATCCCTAAATATCTGCTAAATCATTCATTTTATACATTCTGCATTCATACGTGACGCGTTAAGTTTTTGTGTATAAATTCAGAAGGTATGTAATTTTTTTATAAATAATTTGCCATCAAAAGATAAAATTGCACTTATGAGAAATAAAAAACCAATTCTCAATGATTTATCAACGTAACCAATCGTCGTTACATATCTTACGCAATTAGACTTCATACTACACGAAAAGAAAAAATATGACTCAGAATTATAAGTTATTTAGTTAAAAATTTTGAATTAAGGGGATGCTGGAGTCGCGGGCGAACTCGATCAGCGTCGATAAAGAAGTGCTCACCGATTCTTACATATACATACAGAGCGCAGGCAAACTCGACCAGCGTCGATAAAGAAGTGCTCACCGATTCTTACACATACATACAGAGCGCAGAGTTTTTGGCTGAATTCGGGGAGACGCGTAACATGTGCATATGAAATTTTCTAACATACTTTTCTCTTATACTAAAGCTCGCAGCTCATTTCTGCAAGCACAGGATTCTTCTTTATTGTATTTCCGTGACGGCTGCAAGGTTTTTGTATACGTACACAGTCTAAAACTTTTATCTGCAGCAAATGTTGTCATGAGTCGACAGCAGAATCGAAAATAAAAATGTAATTTTCTAATTTTTTTTCGTTTTTCATACGCAATTGGTGCCTGCCGTCTTCGTTATCGTTCATACTTTAATTCTGGACAAAAAATTTTTAATTCGGTGAAATCAATCAAAAGATTTGTGTGTCTGAAAATTTCGTGGTAAAACAGACCTGTCTCCAGCATCCCCTTAATCACAGGAATTTAATTGTTACTAATTCGCAAAAATAACTGAATTTTTGCCAATAATGATGAGCTCAAAATTTTTAACTTACGAGAGTAGAAAGCTCCATGAATAACTGATAATTTCGAGTCGTTCGTTTTTTTTTACTCTCGCGCGGCGAGAGAGGCCGGCTACAGAGATGTCATCATATATAGTCGCTACGAAAAAAACAGTTACGGAAGCAACGTGCGTCACTGATACGATGCATTTTGATATGTTTTTGCAGAAACCGAAACGGAGAAAGCGCCAACGTCGCCGACGCGCAGGAAACTGCCAAAGACGCCGGTATAACGAGTTACTAAGTTGACACCTACACACATTGACCGTTTCTCTCTTTCTATCTTTCTCTCATTGTCCTACACGATGTACACGATGCATACGCAGACTCGGGGATAAGCACGCTTATAAGCCGAGAATAAGAGCGTAAGAAAAAAAGAAAGAGAAAAGCGCAGGGAAACAGCTGAAAAAAAAGGGATGCGTCCTCTCGCGTAGTCTCTTTACTTTTGTATATAATATAAGTATGATTAATCAGGCGTGCACGGACACGAACTGATTGCGCACATTTGTAAACGAGAGATGTGTGCAGGCAGGCGTGACGTGTGTGAAAAAGTGCGTGGGTTTTAGCGTCAACGTGCAAATCAGTTAAAGTGAGCGAGTTACGTCATGTGCTGAAATATATCGTGCACGTAACGAACACGGTTTATAAAAAAAGCTCCTGTTAATTATAATCAATTTTAATACCTACAATTAATTTTGGCGACCAAAAAAACGTTCTGCAATAAAACTGATGTCTTCGGATCTTTTGTCCGGTCAATTCATTTGCATGAATTTAAATATACCGCATTTTTTTCATTATTTTATAGATTTTATACTAAAAAAGCATCTATTTTTAATTTTTACATACAACATTATAAAATTTAAAATTGATGTCAATTTACAATTGCGAATTAAGATTTGAATTATTCACGCATATCTCTCTTTTAACACAGTTTAATGCTAGTATTAATATATATATATAAACGAAGCTTTTAAGCGTTAAACTTTTGCGATAGATAATACCAGGCAAATTTCATATAATTTTATTTTCACTGAGTTTCACTAATCGTTTAGTTTATCCCCCAATTCTAGTACGTTTAAACTCGTCGATAATGCCTGAGTTACTCCCTAAATTTTATCTCTCGGTAGGAGTCCCCCGTACCGGCAATCTTATCCGAACGCTTAGTCGACGGTTCTTAGGAAAAGCTGACAAAAGTCGAGTACTCCGACCGAGCATTATTCGCGAAAAGTAAGACCACTTGAATCACGCAGCTCAGCGCCATTTTATCCCGGTAAAGCACAATGCGGCACAATTCTACCGCGCATTTTCACTGATCCTGCGCGAAGACTGCTAACGTGTAAATATTGTACGTACATACGTCGATGTAACGAACTATAACGATGTCCCGTCTTTTTTTCTTGTAAAGCACAGCGTGCGTCGTTCGCGTTGTCGCGGTCGCTTCAGATAAGTTATATACAAAGAGCGCATCGATGACGAAGGAAAAAGTCTGTCCGATAGAACAGAGATAACTAAAGAATTGTGCGGGAACTTACTTTCCAGGGTGTTACTGGAGAATTAGGTAATTTCAGGAGAAAGAACTGCGAGAGATAAAAATCCAACTCGATTGATCCGAATAATATATAGCGAGATAGTAGCGAGATAAAGTTTTTGATCTGTAACAAAAACTTACTTCGAGCTTGCGTGATTTTAGAACTCCAGACGCAAGAGAGTGTAATAGAAGTTATCGTAGCTTTCTAAACTTTAGGTGGAATAGAGATACGAGATTATCAATCGCGTTTTGTACGATATTGGTCGGAGGAAACTAATAGCAAAAAGTCAGGGTTTTTTTTTAAACTATCATAAAATTTTTTGCTATTGTAAAATATATAACAAAACCTTTTTCCTTATGATTTTACGTTTATTATGTTATATTAGTTATTTTGTTTCGACTGCTTGGAATTATTTCTCAGCAAACTATCGAAGCAATATCAGAATATTTTAGTAGAGAGCAACATAGCATCCGAAAGATATTTCATTCCTTCATCGCGCACCTTCGCATTTTGAAAGATCGAAATTTTAGATCAGTGTATCCGCTTTTTCTCTCTTTTTTCCCCCCAACAATTGTATGAAAAGATAGTTTCGTGAGAATTCGATGGTCATCACATATCGCTACCCGCATTGGCTACGGGAATTTATTGCTAATTACTTTTCGCCTTTCTATCGGTTTTACACGTTACCATCGCACGATTTAAAGCTCGCATGATTTAATACTCCGATGAATATCTTACCAGACGCGAGAGTTTCAGCCAGGATGAACGAAATTCTTATCGCTCGCCTAGCAGCCGTAAAATTTCCTCGAATTACCTATCAGATAAAGTTTAAGGACAAGACTGTATTGTAGTTAGTAAAAGAAGCAACGCTCGCAAATTTATAGGTTCAACCAGTGCCGTGAATATCCGATAACACGCTGTTTCAACGTTCCAGCGATACGTTCCAGAGTATAACGTGCTGGCGGTATGGCACGCTGTTTTCCAATCGATAGTGGCAATCCTAGCCGCTAGTTTGAATACCCGAATAGCCTGCGGGAAAAAATCTCGAAAAATATGCTACACGAATGTCGCAATTATTCCATTGAATCGTATTCGTGCATTGAATATTATATACGCGTCGCACGGTTTGCATTCAGAGCTGCTCAATATTCGGATAGTAACTTGAGAGATGTTTGTATGGATCCACAGTTAACGAACGCATCGCTGAAAGCAAACGTTCGCGTTATGTGATTGCCTGACATTTGTACAAAATTTAAAAAAAGAGCGCATTTTTATAAAGACGCGCGAATCTTGAACAGACGTACAGATATATACGTATAACTATTAACAATGTCTTTTATATAAAAAAAATATCGAAAGGAAAAAAGCGTACGATAATTGCTGATTTACGTTCATTTGCATATTCGTTTATTTATAATTTTACGCGCGTAAGATAATGTTTAATCGCTGAAGTGTAAGAATTCCGAATATATCATTGACGGCACTGGTTCCCACTGGCTACAGATATCGATCGTAGGGCATGTCGTCGACGCGACTCGAGAGCAACTTAAATTTATTAGTACGTTGTATATGATCCCTTTAGGCCATACAGCAGCACTCGTACAATCACTAGCAGAAATGCGCGTTACGGTGTACGCCACTTCGTTTTCTTCGACGCAATCGCGGGGGTGTTCTTTCATATATGCCAGAATTTCACAAAAAACTTGCAAAAATCGTGAAAATTGAGAACTTTCATTTTGGGTATATTCAATAAAAAGCCGCACACTTGCGAAAATAAGTCTAACGGATACTAAAGAAATTGTAAAAATTGCAAATTTTATATTTTGTTGCCGAAAAGAGGTATTATTCGTTCCTTTTTATATTATCATTAACAATTAATGCCACTGTAGATATTAATAGACGGGATCGACTTTATTATCTGTAGAAACGTATCTATAACTGTAAAGTTAAAGAAGATTAAAATTTCTCATTGAAATGCTATAAATTGAGGGAATCCATGTTTTACGTATCGTTGGCGGTCAAATTCGCCTGGAATAGCCATATATTCGATGCTGCGGAATTTCAATTTATATTTCTTTTCTTTTCCCGAGCGTCGTTAATATACACGCTCACGGATTTTCGAATGCTACCGAGACCTGTCGCATGTTAAAATAATTTAATCTATTAACGCTATAGAACCCCGGCATACCCGGCCGTCGCATTTCGCGCGACCATTAATTCGATCGTTTACCGATGTGTCGCCGATTTCATTCCAACGCGGCGTGGTGTTATCCTATCAGGGGGTCCTCCCAATCAATTATCGCAATCGGACACGAGTCGGCCGGGTGTGTAATTACATCGATCAGTCGCGAGCTTACGAACACCTCCGTCCGTCGGTTTCGCATATATGCGCAGGGGGGAAAAAAGCAAATGTCTCTACGCGACACCGCAACCGATTTCTGTCTGAAGAGAAAAGCTTTCGTACAATCAATCGTAGAGAATCGCCGTGTGAGCAGCCCGTATGCTCATATCGCCTCCGAGGATTTTTACGAAAGTCATCCGTTTTTTTCGCGAAGAGTCAACATCGGTCGCGAGATTAGACACATCTGGGAACACGAGTGATTGAAATTTTAACGTGTATAAAAAAAAAGATTCGTCGTTAGATTCTCTCTCACTCTAATACTACAGGACGTCACTTTTTTTTGTGCGCCCTACATGTACATGTAAAATAAAAAATAAATTTGTAATACGACACACACACACACACACACACACACACACACAATTGTTGAACTTTATAAAAGACTTAATTTTTAGGAAATTTATAGCGTACGGAATATTGTTCTCTATAAATTGTTAATATGTGTGCATTTAATTGAATAGATATGTATTGCGTTGATAAAATATATATATTAATTCAGGAAACGTGCGGGATCTTTTGCATACGAATTTTACTAATTGGAATTACAGTTCTAATAAACAATACTGTTAATAATAGAAACAACAATAATTACGATAACAATAGAGCTGATTGCTATAAACCAACAAATATTTGATATAAAAATGGCATAATTATGCATAGGTAAATACAATAAGCAATGTTGCAGCAATCAAGAAATGCAATGAAATAAAAAATAAATCCCGCAGATTCTTGCAAAAAAAAACAATATTAATTTTTTTAGAATTTATCGCTATAGGTATTAAACACATTTTATATATATAGTAATAGTTCTCTATTTTAACAATACTGGTGCTATCATATTAATATAATCTCATTAAAAAGCCAATAACAATTGATCCAGTGTGATACGTCAAAGATTAATGACCGACAAGTCTCTCTTTCTTTACTGTAATCACGCATATTGTGAGTCTTCGAGTCATCGAGACTATCGAGAGTCTTAAGATCGCTCGTGTTCCCAGAATAATTCCTCAATTTTCTCGAGACAGCGAACGGGCGGAAGCGGAAACTCGCACGGCTCCTAGATATTAACGCGAGCTTCGAGACGTAGAAGCGATTGTAAAGCGCGGATCAACACAGGATGAATCTAGTGTTTTAGCGCAGTTTTAGGTATATTGGGTGTTTTGATAAAGTACCTATCGAATTAAGAATTTTTTTTTTCCCAACCGGCACAATTCCGCGACGTGAGTGGAAACCGCGATGTAAGTCGGAACCTGGTTCGAACAACTCGACAAATTTCTGTCGCTAAGAACCGACAGAA